AAAAAAAAAAAGAAAAATAAATTAAAGTAGATTGAAGTAAACGGGGATAAAAGGAAAGCTTTTATCCGAAATGTCTCCATTCATTTTCGTAAAATACACATTGAAAGTCATTTGTTTTCTCGTGAGCTTGCGGCTTGAATAGATGAAATCTGATGTGAAACCTTCCTAATACTTGACTTTCAAAACGCTTTGTTACCATGTTTACTAAAAAAACAATTTTTTTGTTCATTTACAAATTTTACATGGTGGAAAAAATAAATTTAATCACCTTGGAAAATATTAATAAATAAAACCACTTTAATAAGTTTTATTTTTCTCTCAGCTTATATTTTAGAAATGATTGATTGGAAAACAAGTAATGGATTTCCCATCAATCACTTAAATAAAAATAGTGTTAAATATTTTTATTAAATCATGAAAAAAAATTTTTTCAACATGTTAACATGAAAATTCAATCTCTGAAGCTTGTTTTCCTGTATACATAATTTATGTTTTATGTTTCTACTGTAAAAAAATTCTATGATGGGACAAACAAGGAGTGACGTATTCATTGAGTGTTGCGATAATTTGACATTAGAGAGACAGCTCGACAAGGCTCACCGAGTAAATAGAAAGATAGAGCATCACATATCTCGAGTACAACCATCGACACGTTGTCAATGCATTTCCAATGATCAATGTTACTCTAGTAACTATTCTGGTGCATTGCACAAGCATTAGCTCGATTTATAGATATTTTATTTTTATTTGTGCAAGCAATTTTTTCAAACATCATTAAATTTAATGAAAATAGAAACAGATTATTTGTGAATCAAAAATATATTTACGCATATTTAAAAATGTTGACAGTTCATTAAATGTCTGATCAGTTTTATTTGTTAGATAAATTCGTGAAATAAGTAACTATCTAATCCAGTACAAAGCTTTATCCGCAAAAAATTAAAATACCTACTGTTTGTCTTAACCTCACGTGATAGTGCATAGTAGTAGTTATGAAAATTTTCTAAATTCTGTGACCAATCAAATTAAGATCTCGTAGGCATTTTTTCATACTTAAAAAACTGTGCTGAATACTGTCAAGCAACTCTAAATTGAATAACGCGTTCAACAAACACTATTGTTTGAAAATCTCAAAAAAATGTTAATTTAAAACAATTCTCAACCGCTTGGAACATTTTCAAGCGTTTTAAGCTCAAAAAGCGGGAAGTTCCAGAGATGACCTACAGAGTAAACCGTTTTTCAGATTTTTAGTTTTCAGGTTATTTCGAAGCTAGACTTACTTTGAAGATTTATACGAAAGATCATAACCAACTTTAAGTATTAAAAAAAAAAAAACTATTAATATTTGGAATTTGCTCGGTCATGGTGCAGAAAAAGTAAAAAAAACAATCAAATTGATGGAATGATTTCAACATATTTTTCTTGCTCTCCTAGCCGAAAGTACGCTCTTCCTGGACGCACTTTACTCCAGGAAGAGCAACTTTTATGGCCTGCTCTAACGCATGCGCGCTACGCATATTTTCTGGCCAGCAGCATAGAACCTCGCTTTCTTTCGTAGTTTCGTGGCGCAACCGGCCTGCACAGCGAGTTTCAATTGTATGTAACAAGTCACATCATCTGTATGTAACATGTCAGCGCAGAAACTAACCAAAAAATGTCAAATAAATAACAATAATTTCTAACTAGATTATTGTGAATGAACTATTTAATAATAATACAGCAAAAATAATTTATATAAAAATTTTAGAAAATAATATAAAAGTTTTGTAAATTTTATTTGCTTTCTTTTATATTTTGACAGCTAGTAAAGCAATGTTTATAAAACAATCCATGTACTCTACAACCTTCTAATAATTTAATTTCAATCTTTCTTAGCCGTCTAATTAAAAACTAATTTTTAATCAACTTAAAAAAATTAATTTTGTTATTAAATCGAGTTTAAATATTTGTGACAAGTTCTGTGCATGTTATCTCTCTTAATCAGAGCATTTGTTAGTAAACTTTAAAATAACTTATTTTGCCAGGCACATAAAATATGTTTCAATAACAATTTTTTTGTTTAACATAGTAAATAATAACATTAAACATAATCTTTTTTGGACGTCCGTGTATGAATGGGTGTATGTGGCAGGGAAATTGGTCGAAAAAATGATCGTACCGGAACAATTTTTTTTTTTATTATCTAAAGTAACACACGAAGGATTTTCCTAATTAATATGAGCGTTCAATTCACTGTCGTTAAATTATTATTTATAGAAAACTAATATATGACTGTGGATTTTTTTGTATATCTATCTATACATTTTATTATAGTATTTTTTTTCCTCACCTTAGAGTTATGGCGCCACTAAACCATAGCAGAGTTTTCTGTTTTTTATTATTTTGCTTTTTATATTTTATTTTAATCAATTTTATTGTGAAAAATGAGATTATGAGGCGTGCACTTTTGGATTTTCCAAACTTTTTTTTATTTATTAATTTTACTTTTTTACTTATGCCCGCTCCGATCAGCAAAACCTCGCCTTCGCCTCGGTTTTGCGAAACCCCTTCCCGGGGGTTGCGTAGCCTCGGCTATCATATCCCATACGCCAGGAAATCCAACTTTCTGGCCTTGGATCGTAATATACTATTTCATTTGTATAGAAAGTATTCGGTTTGTTAAAAGCTCGATCAGAATTTATTTGTGATTTTATCTTGACAACATAATCAATTACTATGACTACTGAATAGAAGAGTTTTTCCGGGATTTGAAACATATAGTAAAATGTAAAACGTTGTCCGCAGCGTGTTCCAATTTAGTAATCATATATTCGTAGCACACAGTGCAGAATAGCCAAAGACCTACGGAGTGTTCGAGTGGAATATTGATTATGCGGTTACGGATTTTCACAAGAGGTACAAAACGCCTGTTGGATGAATGCGTTGATATTTCCTCGAGGGTTGAAGACCCAGATGGAGGCTTGACTAGAGTTTACATACACGTATATATTACTTCCGCGGTTGATGAATCGAAAGCCTTGGGTTTAGGCAATAAATTTACTCCCGGACTGAATACCGGACTGATGATTTACGGTGAGGCTTCAGAAAATGTAATGATGTATGAGCTATAATATACGGTAAGTGATCTGTTTAAACAAAGATGATAGTCATAGACAGTTAAAAACAATTGAGAAAATTAATTTAAATGTTAATCGTAATATAGGCAGAAGAAATCGATAAGATAATTAAATTCCAGTGTAATATCAAACTCTTTGAATTAATTACTCAACGACAAAATATTAATTATAATAATGGAAATAATGATAATTAAATTTAAATGACGGTAAAACATTTCACAAACAATTTGGAATGTATCTGTCGTGCTTGGTCAAGTATCAGAAACACTTAATTTATAAGAACAGCCGAGGGAAATAAAGTTTTCTCTTAGTTGTACTGCGTTTCTTGTCGGAGTCAAGCTTAATTCTTTCTGTTTGTAGTACAAACCTCAGAAAAGCTAAGAATTGCGTCTGATCCTCAGTATTTCTCAAGAGAATTGCTACTTGACTATAGAAAAAGAAAATACAACCCACTTTCACATACAAATATTTATATGTTTGTATAAGTAGAAAAAAACATTTTATTTCATATAATTTGATTATATTTACTAGAAATGATATTCTTTACATATAAATCATCCAGACAATAATTCAAAGCCTGTTATTATACAACAAAGCCTCTATTTTTTAACTTCCCACTAAGGAAATCAATGATTTTCGAAAAATCGGAAAGTTATTGTTTTCACCTCGATTTTCGCAAATCGAGTTTTCATTCAATTTTGACGTTTCAAAGTCCTAGGAAGCTTCCCTGACTATTCCCGCGATGGTCTCTGTATGTCTGTATGTATGTATGGAGGTGTGTTTGTGTGTTTGTATGTATGTATGTATGTATGTATGTAAACCTCTCATAACATTTGAACGGCTTGACCGATTTGATCACGATTGGTGCCATTCGAAAGGGTTCGACTAAACTTAGATTTTAAATACCAGTTGGACCGAATTAAACCGATAGATTTTGAGAAATCTTAAAAAAACTGCGAAAAAAAATTTTTCCAAATGTGGTTTTTTTTTAATAACTTTCAAACAGCTCGACCGATCAATTCCAAAAACTAATCAGCTCTTAACATCAAAAAACCTCGTCGATCACCACCAATCTGGTCAAAATCGGTTGATTCGTTCGTGAGTTATCGTTGACGAAAGAAATCGAAAAAAAATGTTTTTTTCGAACTACACTGAAACTTCCGGTCTTATCAATTCGTGTTTAAAAATGTATCATAGAATTTAAATAACTGCGTCGAATGCCGCCAACCGCGTGAAAATCAGTTCATTCATTCAAAAGTTATTGCGGTTTGAAAATTCAAAAAATAGTGTTTTATTAAACTTCTATCAGACTTTTGAGCTCGGAGACCTCAAAACGACACGAAAATTATATTTTTTGAGCTCGTCGAGCTCAAAAACGTAATAGGTGCAATGTTGAGCGCTTAATTACGAAAGTAGCGGAAAGTTGCAGGAATGGCTTTCAGGGTCAACCGTTTTCCTAATTTTTTTTTTTTTTTCATTTTCCGAACTTTTTTTTTTTATTAGAAGAATCCAATTTCGAAGTTTTTTCTTTAGTTGAAAATGTAACTTATATACTTTCCTTAGCTCTTCCCTATTTCAATATTTTATTAAAAATCAAACGAACTTACCTTAAGTGATGTTCGATTGTAATTATATAAGAGTCTCGTTCGAGATGATTACATCATAGTACCGCTACTTTGACTAGTTCTAACCACACGTTTTAGAGTATAAATTGAAAAATTTCGGCTTCCCGCCGCCTGCTCCTACATCGCACTCTAGCGGCTAATTGTCATATAGTTTAAAGCTTGTCGCAATGTTATGGCCAACTTACTTTTTATTAATTACCTCCTGTTACAGAGCTTAATGCCATAATATTAATTTTCAAATCTTAACTTAATATAAGCCTCATCGACTTTGTTGATCAAATAGCACCTCTACAAACGACTCTCTTCTTGGTTCTATTGGATGTTTGTAGAACTTAGCGAACACCTGTGAGCTGGCTGACCATCCTGCTGTACTCTTTATGATGCTTACATCTAAACCTTTTGCCTCTGCAGCAGACGTGGCTGCGTGTCTGGTACTGTGAGCAGTGTACTTAGGATCTATCCCAGCTTCCACAAGACAGCACCTTATCCAGCGGCTTATTGATTGGGGAGTTGCCCTACGGTAGGGCCTCTTATATGTAATAAACAGATAGTCCTCTTTCCCTCTCAGATCTTTGGTTCTTTTTAAGTATTCTAACAATACCGTAGTGACGCAAGCGCTCTTTCGCTCTTTAAAAAATGGTAGATTAAAGGAAGGTTGAGCAGCCCCGACTCTAGATGTTTTAATCTGATCAGACACTTTTATAATGACATTGGTTTTTGAGATTATCATGTCGCTTAATTTGATTAAGGACAATGTCTGAACCCTATGCGCTGTAGCCAAGGCCAATAAAGATACCAACTTAAAGGTGAGAGTTTTTAGGTCCAGGGTTTTCAATGGTCCCAGTGCTTCTACCCAGTTCAAGACTGCCTCCGTGTTCCAGGTGGTGTCATATTTAGGCTTGGGTGGTCTGTTCTTAAACACTCCTTTGAAAAAACGACTGATTGAAGGATCACTACCCAAGTCTATCGTGCTTATAAGATAAATCGCTGATCTTTCTGAGTTAAGCGTACCATATGATGCATCTTGATTGAATCGAAAGGTTAAATATTTTAGTACTAGGTAGATGTCTGGTTGTAAAGGATCTCTGTTGGTACTCTGACAATAACTCCACCAGTTCTTAAGAGCTACGTTGTACTGTTTGAGGGTAGAATCTGTTAGAGAAGAAATTAAAATTTCTACTGCTTCCGTTGGTATCAGTTTTTGTTGATACGAGCGCCGGAGAGCTTCCCTGCAACCAGGGAAAGATGATTCGCTAACGGATGGATTAAAGACCTGCAAGGAGATAACAGTAAATTAGGTGAAGGCGAGAAATGCAGCGGTTTTTCTGATAGTATTGACTTAAATAAGGGAAACCAAGGCTGAGTAGGCCAATGGGGAACCACCACTATTCCCTGAGCTTTATCTGAAATAATTTTTTGCAATACTTTGGCAACCATCGCGAAGGGTGGGAAAGCATAAAAAAAATATCTACTCCAATCTATAGTAAAAGAATCAATGTAACGAGCTTCTGGATCCCGTTTCCAGGCGCAGAAAATTTCGGTCTTAGCATTACTTCTTGATGCGAACAAGTCTATTTCTGGTAACCCCCATTTTTCTATTATGGTTTGAAAAAAGGGGGCCCCTAATTCCCATTCAGTATCTACATTGACTCTCCTAGATTCCCTGTCTGCGTCTGTGTTTTCTCGTGAGAGAATGTAAGAAGCAAAAATCCAGATCTTTCTCTTTTCGCACCAAGTCCAGATATCTTTAGCTCTTTGATGAAGTTCTACGTATTGTACCCCACCCATCCGATTAATGTACGAAATCGCCGTGGTGTTGTCAACTCTAAGCAAAATTTCGCAATTTTGAACTTCTTTAGCAAAGCACTTAAGCGCTAGGAACGCTGCTATAATCTCTAACTGATTTATATGTAACCTCTTTTCTTTCTGAAACCAGAATCCATGAGCATTTTCTCCATTGCAATGAGCACCCCAACCTGTGAGCGATGCATCAGAGAAAATCTCTAACTTATAATTTAAAGACCTAATCGGATTTTTTACTACTGGAATATTATTCAGTCACCACTCAAGATCTTTCTTTACATGAGAGTGAATAATCATACATCGATCAAAGTTTTGATCATTTAGGATTAGTGCCTTCATTTTTTCTCTCTCTAACATCTTGGTATATAGCATGCCATACGGTACACCTGGGCATGCTGCAACCAGTACTCCGATTAAACCCGCCATCTCTCTAATGAGGCAAGAATCTTTGCTCAAAAATTCTTGAATTGTTTTAATTAACTTACACTTTTTCCCCAGGTAAGGAGAGTGTCATGTCTCTGGAGTTTATAATAAAACCTAAGTACTGACATTTGTAATCTGGTTCATGTTTACTTTTCTCTTCATTTACGATAAATCCAAGCTCTTTGAAAATTTTTCTCGTTGCTGCTACATTTTTCCTACATTCAGACAGAGACTTACCGATGCAAAGCGTATCGTCTAGGTACACTGTCGATAACCATCCTCTTTCTCTAAGAAAGTTCAGGACTGGTTTTGGTAATTTTGTGAACACATACGGGCTTGTACAAAGTCCAAAGGGTAAACATTGAAATTCAAAGATCTGGTCTTTGAATTTAAATCTTAAAAATTTTCGACTACGGGGACCAATTTTTACCAAAAAATATGCATCTTTCAAGTCCAAGTTACACAGAAAATAATTTTGATAAATTAATTTTAAGGCTACTCTCATATCCTCAATTTTAAAATGAGTAGTTTTTATAAATTGATTTAAGCATTTAAGGTTTAAAATGAATCTCTTAGCACCATTTGGTTTTGGAACAAGAAAAAACGGTGATAAAAATTGGTCTTCTACGGGTTCGCATCTAACTATCGCCCCCATAGCTATTAGCTTCTTTATTTCATTTTCTAAAGATCTTTCGTCTTCTGACGAAAAACGCAAGTCTTTATTAAAGCTCAGGGCCCAAGGTGGTTTTTCAAGAAAAGGAATTTCATATCCTTTTACACAATTTAGGACAAAAGAATCACTGGTGATCTTTTTCCATTGTGGAAGAAACTGACTGAGCCTTCCTGCAACTAATCTCACCTCATTATTTATTTCTTCTTCCCTGCATCCGTTGGTGGCTGAGTCTTGCTAGTTGACTTCGAGGCATTGCTGTATGTGCTCTTGCTGCTGTGCTGAGATGAGGGGAACTTCGTCTGGTACTGTTTCGGGCCCTGATACGAGTTCCCCTGTCTCGCATATGGGACTCTCCAGTTTAAAGTACGTCTGGGCGCTGGGTTGCTTACTTTTTTGTTATTACTAGAGGATGAAGGAAGAGGAGACGCCTTGATCTCTTTGCCAATTTTCTCCATAAACTTTGCGGTTTTAATCTTCTCGGTTAGCTTCTCTCCAAACAACAGAGACCCAGGCTTGGTCGCCTGTAACAAGTTTTTTATTGACTTGGTCAATATTGGAGAGATAAAAGCTCTTCTAGCTGAAGAGACCTGGTAGTGCAATTGTGCCATGAGTTTGCCTGCATCCGCTAGTTTTTCTAACAACTCTAAGCGATCTAGAGGTTCTTCTTCATCTCTGATGATCATTGTAATGCCTTGTCCCAAGGTTGACAAGGCCGAACCAGCTAGGTTTTGTTCTAGGGTAAATAGCTGATCTCTCTTGACGCCCGTTTCGTTCAGTGTAGCTGAAATTTCTTCATTTAATTCTGGGGCCTCGAGAGAAATATTTCCCTTACGCGAATATTTCTCTAACACCTTGTCTTTAACCTCTTTCGGTAATCCGTCAGTCAGCCAAGATGACCAACGCAACACCAAACTCTTGTGCAGCCCCACTTGTTCTTTTTTCTTTGCTCCTGGATCATCTCCCAGAAGCAGTTCTACCTCGTCATCTAATTTCTTAAACTCAGTTGTCTTAGTAGACTCTGTATCAGCTACTACTTGAGTCCCATCCTCAGCCTGCATCTGCGCAAGCTCGTCAACGAGCTTGTCTGAGTCCGAGACAGACTTTTGCTCTTTCAACGCGGGATTCTCTACTTGAGGATTGACGGTTTCATTTTCTTTATCAGAATCGACCCAAATTCCATCTGCAAGAAAAATTTAATCAATTAATTTTTCCCATAATGCCAGATGGACGTTTATTGCACTGGTTGTTATTGCCTCCTACGTGCAAAATTCACCAGCCAGAACGCCCGTCAAGGTCTCATCTTATCGAGTCCTGACGTCGTGTTATCTTAGAGATAAATTTATAACAGTAAAATTTAGTTTACCTTTTTCAAATGCTTTCATAACTGTGTCTGAGACATTGCACTACTCTCTCTAACCTCCGAATCCGCTTCTCACAATTGTCATTCTCATCTCTTTCTCTGCTTCGTTTTTTATCTTTACCCATTATCTTGATACTGGTAAAAAATTTTTTTTGATCCAAAAAAACAATATAGGCCAGTAAATCGTGAATAAAAATTAATATATAAAATAAATAAAATTCTCGAACATGTGATTTTGTCTAGCACAAAGAACGTTATGACAATTAGCCGCTAGAGTGCGACGTAGGAGCAGGCGGCGGGAAGCCGAAATTTTTCAATTTATACTCTAAAACGTGTGGTTAGAACTAGTCAAAGTAGCGGTACTACGATGTAATCTCGAAGAACGAGACTCGTAATATAATTTCTTTTTTATTGAATAGTTTAAGGTTGCACGGACAGTACCCCGTAAGTCATAGTAGAATCTAAATTTTTTTTTCATTAAACTTAAAAATTTAAATACGAAAATTCATTACTATAATTGAATCGTTACCTTACATTATTATTAAATAAAATAATTTAATAATTTAATTAACAACAACAATAAATAGTCAACGTTTTACTCAAGTATTTTTTCACAAAACTTGGACCTGACAACACCGCACTTAACAGCTGTTTATATTTATCTCACTGTGTAGTGTTGAGTTGAAAAACATAACCCATAAAAATACACAGGAATTACTAAAATTCAAAATTCGCGCGTTCTATTCTGTGCAACGTTGCCACACTGCGCTGAATCACGTGGTTTGTTTATTTTTAAATATGTCGGCCTGAAATTTTTGTGAATTTTTCATCTTTTGCATTAAAATATCTTTAAAAGCCTTCGGCAGAAAATTTTCATTTTATTTTTAACGTATTCTACGAAAGTTGATTGACTGAAATAGAAGTTTTTTGTTTTTTAATCTTCCTATGAGGCAGTCACATAAATCGATATATGTGCAATCCGCCAATAGTCTCTATAGGCTACATGTTAAATTTCAATTTTTTAATAATTTATTAAAGGATAACCCTTCGACAGATCTATTCAAAAAAATTAATTTAGACGTATGAGATAGCAATTCATAACATATCAAAAAATTAGCTTCTGATCTTCAAAAGTGCATTAGTGTCCGTACAACCTTAATTTCAATGATTTGAGAAATAACGAATTCAAGATAAATCCTAATGTAAAAGATCGTCAAAAGTTATATAAAGAAAGCTTCGATCGTTAATACTTTCAGAAATAAAACATCTTGATATATCATGCATGAGCACATATTTACATTAGTAATATGGATTAGTATTATATCACAGTGTCGAGATATTTAAGAGTATACTCTTTACTTAACTATTTTAGGCATGAGGTCAGGAGAGTAAATTGTAGAACGACGTGAATATTGCAATGTATACTCTAGTCTTGGTTCCGACTTAGCATATCTACAGTGCAATGAATATATTAACTCTTAAGCCGGAAATGAGCATACGACAATCCAAGTACAATAGTATGAAACAACACTGTCAATGCATACCGTAAATAAGTAAATAGGTTTGTACTATACAGTACATTTAATTTGAAATCCATCTATAATAGAGAGATTCATAAGTGTTATGAGGTTACAGTAAAAATAAGCCAGATAAACGGTTTTGCACATTAAAAAGAGGAAATATTCAATTCTTACGCCTCAGTATGCAACAAGCAAGACCTTGTACACGGAAAAATTGAAACCCGACTGGTTCGTGTTCTGCACACGACTGAGTCTGGTGCAGAACACGAATCAGTCGGGTTTCAATTTTTCCGTGTACTATATTCTATTTTTAGTTCCAATCGAAAAAATTTCCATAAATATTAATGTTTTTATGGATTAAACTATTGCAAAAATTCATTTTTGCCGAGTGTCTTTATTTTTTGAGAGAAAAATACAACGTGATATTGTGTTGCAACATTTATTATTTGCAAATGTTTATTTGACATTACCCAAGTTAAACTTATCTTGAAATAAGTGATACTTATTACTTAATAAACAAACGTTTAGATCCAAACATATATGCATGGATTTCGTCATATCTGTTTGTATTCAATCTGATGTATCCAAATACATCTAAATATTTGACGTTACCAGATATAAATATGTATATAGTTAGTTATAATTATACACTGAAAGAAATTTTCTTTAAAAATTACCGTTAAATTCACGGTAATTGTCGGACGAATGGCACTATCTAATCATTTGTCGATAAGTGAGATAATTTTTAACTTTTTTTCAACAAATTTTACCGTAGTCTACTGTAAATTTTATTAGGTTGTCGGTAAATTTTATAAAGTCTACCACAATATAAATGTATTTTTTCGTAATTTTTATTTCAAAAATGATAATAAATAAAAGGGCCGCATTATGTCCCACGATTACAGTGAATTTAATGATAATTTTTAGAGAAAATTTCTTTCAGTGTATCTATTCAGATTCAACTATATATAAACAAATATAAAGATACAGGTAAGGCTCCTAAATCATTGAACTGTCGAAGTTCTAATGTAAGTAAGGCATTAAATATAGAGTTTTTTGTCTAATGTATACACGAATATCTAACTAATATATGAAAATTGACTGTTTTCATCCAAGCAGATATAATAAATATTTACTAAAATGTATTTTTACATATTGGTAGTATATCAGTTCAAATTCAACTATCAGCGTATAGATTAAGATGAATAAAATATTTTGATTTCCTTAGATAGAAGTTTACAAAAAATATTAATTAAATTTTCTGCCCTCCGACCGGAAAGTGGCAACTTTCTGGCCGCTGCGCTAAACAAAGTTGCCACATTCCGGCTACGTCGAGCAGAAAAATAGTATACACACCTTGGCCAGTAAAAAGTAAAGCCTCAGACCACATGTTTGTCAACCTCGGCTTCACCTCGGCCAACAATTACATGTCTGAGACTTTTCTTATTTTACTGGCCTAGGTATGTAATATACTATTTTGATTATATGTAACTAAATATAAACATAAATAATTGAATATGAAAGTATTAAATTACGCAACTTTCTGGAAATGCTATTGTCTTAGAATATTATGATAAATAATAATATGTAACTAATTTAGAAGAAACATGCAGGTAAAAATGTAAAATAAACGATTATATAATATATTTAAAAAATTTTTTCACATTAAATGAAATATTTCCTTATTTGAATTCAAATTATATTATTTATCAGTTATTTTTTCATAAAAAATTGAAATTTCATAAGAAGTGATGCTCGTAGACTTAATTTCCCAAATTGAAACAAAGTTTAAGCAATATGATAGAGGCAATACAAGATACAATTAAAGTAACAACATGTACTCAGAATTAGTACAATAATCTTCTAGAGCGATTTAAAAATTTGATGTAGGCATAGATTGTAGTAGTTTTAGTAGCTGGCATAAAGTTTCAATAACTGAACGATTTAATGCTAAAAATGTTTTGATAAATTTAGTTAAATCACGTTCTGAAATAACAAAAAATGCTGATATTATAACTAAATAATGTGATCAAGTGGACCGAATTAAATTTATCCGAAAAGAGCGTTTTAATTTCCATATTTCGTAAAAAAAAAATATACAAATTAAAATTAAAATACTGGAAACAAAAGTTATGTGAAGTTAAATGCTCTTTGGCAGTTAATGCGAATTGATATTGTCATACGAAAATATACGATCAATATATTCTGAACAAACGTCAGTAAAGAACACACACAAAATAAATCGTTAATACATGATGGTTACAATCCAGAGTTTAAGAAGCTTTAACTGCTCACAATTATAATAGAAATA